CTTAAATATTGTAAGCATTTAGAAGATTTGTAATTAATAAGCATTAATTAAATAATCCGACAATATTTTGAAAGTCCAAAACCGAAACTAACGGTAAGTCGAACTTCCGATATGTCGAAGTTTTTCGTCAGTCCTATCACATTCGAGTTATCGTGAATTCACTGTAGTTTGCAATAATCAAATAAGAAATTTAACCATTTTATTAAAAAATATTGACTATTTTGCTAATAATATTATTTTTAACCCCTCAAACGTTTTACCCCTGCATAAAATTGTACAGAAAGTTTCTTATTTCATTCAATAACCTGGAAAAATATTTTTTGATGCTGGAAGGCCTGCATCTCAAAGTTCAAATTAAGCTGGGACTAATGCCCAAGTGTTAAATAATATTAAGTATATTATTAATATATCCTATAAGATAATTTGGTTGATAAATGTAAAAACATGTAAAAAAAATTTGTAAAATCCTTTTTTTTAAATCATGATTTTTGCCAACCCTGATTGACAGGACACAAAGTACCAATCTCTGTTTGTTTGTTCTTTTAAATTTATTTTATTTTTTATTTATTAAAAAAATTTTTTTTTGTTCAAGTCAGATATAATAATCAGAAATTTGCTCTTTCCTTCAAAGTGAGCATTAACAATCATTTTTAATTTTCTGAAGAAAAAGAATTTTAAACACATCTATCTAGAAAGTAGGATATTGTTAGTGTTATTGTATTTTCACACTGAATTATCCAAACCAATCCGGAGTAGGTATGACTAGTAGGGAGGGTAATGGTGGAGGGATTTGGTATAAAAAAGTTTAATAATTGTGATAAAAGCATAAAACTCTTATGATTGTTACTACATGATTTTAAATTATTAGGGAATTTTACATTATGTTTTTAATGGTTATATTGGGGGCAAAAAAGGATAATGAACTAAAATTTGCTATCTGTGATAGACAAATGATATATTGTATTTTTTTATGTTGAATCATTTATGAATATTTTACGATAGTTAATTAGATATAATGTGTCAAAAGTACGGTTTTGTATAAATACTTATTTAAATGCCTGGTGTATACATAAATCTAAACTTCAGTTGTTTTTTATACATAAAAGTCTAATTAATAAATAAAAAGTCTTTGCCCACTTCTACAATTTAGCAAATACAAAAAGCCCAAAGTAAATTAAATTCGATTTCTTTAATATATTTTGTTAGATATCATCGCGAGTTTCAAGTGAGATTCTCATACAAATATTTCATTGTTTAATGAGACATTTCCATTGTAAGTTTGTAAGGAACGTTCATTGAGTCTTAGTGACTAACATTTGTGAAACTTTAAATTGAGAGATGTTTTTTTATTACAAAACTTTAACTTTATTTAAGATCAATATTTTTACTTGCATATTCTCTTAAAATATTAAACTATTTCAGCAAATAAACAAAGTGACACCAAAGAACAAGATGATGATGAGAGTACCAAATTTTCAATAGATCGGGATTATGATTCAAATAGTAACAGTGATCAAGATAATGATATTACTTTGCAACAAATGATATCTTCTGGTAATGAAAAGTATTTGATTTATATTTTTAAGTTTGGTTATAATGTTTAGTTGTACTAAATTAAATTTATCTATGATGCAATCTTTTTATTTAATCAGGAAAAAAATTGTTTAAGATTTTTTATTTTTCAATTCTTAGAAATCGAAAGCATTTATTTGATAGTATTTGTTTTTTTGGGAGATGGAATTGATTAAGTACAAAATAATGAGGTTTTTTATTTGCACTTTGCCTGCTACTTCTTAAAATAATTTAAAAGTTTTATATTATCTTCTGATTATTTTATTCACAGTTTAATCATTATTGCACCATCAGCGTGGAAGAATGTAGTATTTATCTTTTCTTTATTATTATTACATTTATTTGTACATGCATTGTTTTTTGTTCTCAACATTGTCCATTTGGCAATGCAAATTTTTAAAATTTAAATTCATTGTTTTTAATATGTTACTAATGTTGTTAGTCTTAAAGGCAAAGACACTCATGCATTTAGCACATCCTAAGAAAATTGTAAACTCAGAAAATATAATTATCTTTGTTTAAAATTATAGTTTAAATTTTAAAAAAGAAATGACCTATAAGGAAAAGTTGTATTGCATGAGAGATCCAGATGCATGAAAGTTTTGCTTAAGAGGTTGAGAACTCGAGAAGTTTTAAAAATTTTATACATTGCAATTATTTATGTAAATACTATCCTTATATAATATTTTCATCTTTATTGTTTATAAATGTTTTAAAAAAGCTTAGATACTGTGGGAACTTCCTACATTGATTAATAATGTTTTTTTTTCCTTATATATTTGAAAAACTACCAAGATGAATTTCTGTATCCTGACATCCGTTTACCGGAAAGGGTTTCTTTTCTGGACACTTTTTAACAATAAAAATCTGCAAAATTATTTTCCCTTTTCAAAAAACATCTTTCTTTTTTTTGCATTTGTGATATATTGAAAAAAGAAGTGTGCAGGAATAAGGATACTCCATTTCTGCTATAATATGAAGAACATTCTCCTTCACGTACGAAAAAAAATCGTATCTGTTTTCTGGACGGGTCTCTTTTCCAGGCACTTTTTAACAATCCAAATAAACAAAACTATTCCCTTTGCATTTTTTTTTATGCTTGCGATATGATAAAAAATTTATGCATGATTGAGAATCATCCGCTAATTTTGCTTATTTATATTTTTTCGATACTGCCTATTTTTGTTCGTTTTAAGTCCGATTTCCGCTTTAACATTAAAAAAATGGATATCTTTAAAATGGAGTCTGGAATTTACCTACAGTGCAAATTTTTAAATTTATTTTTTTTCACATCTCCCATAAAAGGGTTATTACAACCAAGAAACACCCACTTAATTTCAGAGTGTTCAAACATTTACTATTTTGAAAAAATTGTGGATCTAATCAAGCATAAAAAATAGAAAATTTGAAAAGGGAAAGGAGTTTTGTTTATTTGGATTGTTAAAAAGCGTCAGGAAAAGAGACCCTTCCGGAAAACAGCTGTGATTTTTTTTGCGCTGATGTGAGATTTAAAATTTTCTGCGTATGATAATGCAGAATTAAAAAAAACTATGCAAATCCGTAGCAATAACTCACAAAAATGCAATTGTAAATCCAAGTAGGATTACGTATAAATCGTCAATAATTGAGTTTGAAATGGACGATTTGAAGTTAGCCAAATAAAATAATAGTGTAGTAAACCATTGAGATTTTAAAAACCAAGTGAAAATCCGTTTTAATTACTACCCAAAAAACGATCATCAAAACCTGCTGACGCACAGTGGAATAGTCCCTAAACAAGTGGATCTTGATATATTTATTAATGGAAATAGGTGATTCGGAATCTACAGTATGTCATAATGTGATGTTAAAATATCAAGATTTTGGAAACTATTTGGATCTCTGTAACGAAAGCTGCGAAAAATAATGCAACCACACAGATTTATTTGTTGTTGATTGAAATTGACATTAATCATCAACTATTCGTTATTTTTTATTGAATAAGAATTACCTTAAAGTCCTATTATCCGGAAAATTCTATTTCCCGGGCTTGTTGAACTCCTGACGATTCTGGATATGGCGCTTTCCACTGTAGCTTCATTTGTAAGAAACCAAACCAAGATTATTTGCCACTCAGAAATATTTTCATAAGCCAAAGTTACTCTTACTTTTTTTTATTTTTTTTAAAAACCATTTAATTTGGAATATGTTTATCAAATATATACTTTCTCTTATTTTTAAACCATTTCTGATCTAATTGAAGTATATTGATGCTGTTGTATTCGATTTGGGGGACGTACAACAGTATCTTAAAAATATCTATCTCGTTATAGTGAGTTGTGCTGTGATTTTACATTTCTATTTTAACGAAGATAAATAATTAATTTTCCTTGATTATTACTTATTAAAATTAAATTGTTTCGTTAATTTAGATATGAAATTAATTCAGAAAAATAGGACTAACAATTTACTATTCCAGGTCACTTCTAAATCGACACGTGCTTCACTAATACTTAAATCTAATTACATCAAGGCTAAAATTTTCTATTAAAATTATTTATATTGATTAAACATTTTAAAGTCTCCATGCAATCAAAGGCATCTATGCATTTATCATGATTGAATTATTAAATCTAATCTAGAGTCAGGTCCGAGCCTGTCAGGAAAATATATTCAATTATGTAACTAAATACCACTAAAATCATCAGTAATTGCCTAAAATGAATCAATTAATAACTGCTTAATAATAAGAGTTAAGTTCATACAAAATTACACTATTTATTGATAAGCATATTAATCATGTTCAGCTCAAACAATTTAGTACAATATTCCACGACATGTGGTTCAACATATTATCTTAAACACGACAATGAAGTCAAACCATTAATAAACATTTTAATACAATAAAAAATATTCTCTGGAGCAGGAATAATAATAAAAAAGAAATTAAGTTTTCATTTTATTGATAAGTTAGTTAACGCAGACACGTGGCATGACTACCATGAAGTTAAGTTAGATAATTAGGATTAATTATCTCGATAGGATCCTGCAGATTCAATGGATAAAATTAATCATTAATAAAATTGACGTTAAAAGAAAAAAATATGAAAAAGAATAATAAAACTTATCGTTATATCCATCGGGCGGCCATCAAGAAAATAGGGACTCCGCGAGTCACGCGATTTGATCCCCGGCAGGTACCTGCTGCAAACAGCTCCCAGAAAAAGCGAAGAGAGAAAAGAACTCTCCCTCCGTATATCACGCGCCACTTGACCACGTCAAACAGGTTGGATGACGACATTGTTTCATCACAGTTATAGCTACTGGCCATTCGCCGCGCACCTGTACGTCAGAGAGGGAAAAAGAGAACTTGAAGACAGAGAATAAATAATTAATGTAAGGGATTTAGGGAAAACAACATTACCTGCTCCAGGTTGAAATAATATTTTAACCTGGTTCCAGAGATTTAATACCTTAATACAGAGTTTCTTAACCTGTGGTTCATGAACCCCTAAGGGGTCCACGAGTTATATTTTGGGGGTCCGCTGACTACTCCTAATTTTTAAAACGTTTGGAAGCCTACCCATTTCTTGTAAAGCGAACTAGGGCAGCTATAATTCCGTTTGCTACAGTCTTTGCGAAGTGGGACTGTGACAATAAAAATATAACATATGCGAAGCGGGACTTTTTCACACTTGTGACAATAAAAATATAACATCGAAATCGATTGAATGTTGAACATGATATACACGTTGATTTGTCGAAAACCATCCCCCAATTAAATTTATTAATTAAGGAAAAGCAGCAGCAGCCTTCACATTAAAAATGTTAATTTAAAAAATTTTGTATACTATTAAAATAATAAAATTAAATGTTTTCTAATAATTGATGTTTTTTGCAATTACTTTTTTCACAGGGGGGTCGTCCGTGACTTCTTAAAATTTTTTAAAAGGGGTCCATTATATCAAAAAGGCTAAGAAACACTGCCTTAATATAAATACATGTTTTTCTTCATTTAGAAAATATTTGATTATGCATTCACATACTTTATGATGTCTGGCTTTTAATGCAAGGCCCAGCGATGTAACAATGTATAGCTTTAATGCAATATTGTTTTGCTGAACATATATGTTGCATTTACATCAAGCCAAATATAATTATTATTCCTTTTTGGTTTTCTGCTATTTTTCCACATAACTATCAGATTTAATGATTGTATGGCAAGAAATGTTGAACTTGGTTGCGAATGCAATTTATTTGCTTGATACAGCCCTGCTAGTATTTCAAAAGCTTTGAAATATTGTAAAAATTAATCCAAATTGTTATTAAATTTATAAATAATCCTTAATTATAAATAATCCTTAGCTAAGAAAAGAAAAGTCAATGAAACTGATAAACAAGAAGAAGAAAATGAAGAACACTTTATTTCTGATGATGAAGATTACAGAAGGCCACTAATCATTCATAGTAGTAAGACTCTGCCTAAGAAAGATGATGGTGAAGTCCCTAACTATGCAGAATTAGAACCAAACATTTTTACTAGAAAAGGAGATAATGGTTTGTTCTCTTTCCTTTTTTTATTTTATAATTGGAATGTTATTTTAAAATTGTTTTAAGTCAATATTTGTTTACTTAATAATAATTAATTTAAAATAAAATTAATTTGAAAAGTTTTTTTCTAACAACAAGAATTTCATATCCATTTGTTCTAATGTTTCATGGATAAAACTTCTTAATCTATCAACTTTTTATACCTCAATATGATTTTTTTCCCCCCATATGATTTTCTACTTGATAAAAATTATGTCAGAAATCTAAGATTTTTATCATTTAAATGGGTCACTTTTTGCTCAATGTATTTTTTTATTAGAAAAATCATTTGATTTTTGAAAAGTGTTTAGAATTGTACCGGAAAACAAACGTCCACATATAAATCTATTTATATCATCATTAAAAAAAAAGAAGAAAAAAAATTCTCATTTTCATCAAAAAAAATTATAATTTTGAAATTAATTAAAAATTTTAAGGTAGGTCATGCTTCTTTTAATCTTCAGACATTAGAGCACATAGCTATTTGCAGTACATACTTCTAATCACTCTCATTAAACTGAATTATGCTGCACTGAAAAACTTCAATTTTGGCATAAAACAACACAATTGCTATCCTCGTTAAGAGCTTAATCATTTTTCTAAAATGTTCTAAATGAATGTATGTGTTAAATTTTCTAAATGTATGTGCTTAAAAGTTTTTTTTTTTTAAAAAAACTTTATTTGTAATTTAATGAAAGAGAAAGAGCGTCTAAATAAAATTCATTTCTTAACCTGTAACACGTTAAAGGAAATTTAATTGGAATCCAGATATAGGTATATTAAATTGTCATTATTTTTAATTGAAGAGTAATGGTAAAGTGAAAATATAAAGAAAATTTTTTAATTGCATTTGTTATTAATTACTGAGCGAAAATTTTTATATATCTTTTAATGCTCTTTACTGTTAGTTTATTTTATACATCTTTTATTTATATCTAATTCTAGGAGTGGCTTCTACTTTCAGTGGAATGCGAAAATATAAAGATGATGCAGTTTTTGAAGCTCTTGGAACTATTGAAGAGTTATCTAGTTCTATAGGCTATGCTAAAGAATTATTACCCGTGTTTTGCACAGATATATCCTCACAGCTAATAGAAGTATGTGTTTTTTTTTTCATAAATCTTTTATTTCATTTAATTACTTGCACATAATTTGTTATTCTTTTTAACTGCATTTTTATTTAATTTCAATAATCGAAGGAATCTTTACATTATTTCTTAGCAAGATAATATTGTAAAGTTTCGTATCTTTTTTTATATATATGAAAGAAACAACTGATTTTAATTTGATAAGTATATTTTTAAAAACGTTTTCATTGTGTTTTATTCATTTTAAAAAATTTTTATTTCCTTCGATGAAACATTCACTTTTACAGGTTCAGTGTGTACTTCAAGATATGGTAATACATGTTGGTACACCTCAAGGAAGCTGTTCTGAATTTCATAGAGGTAAATAACTAAAAACTAATATCATAGCTGTGGTCAGTTCATTTATTGTTTTGAACATTCGTTTTTTTTCTTCTTGGAAATTAGCAAGTGTGGAAGTGTTACATATTTTTATACATTTAAGTATAGAAAATGGAGATTATTTCTAATGGGAGAGATTTGCCAAATATGAGTTTCGGTTATAACAAGGAACAAAATTCCTGTATTAAATTGTGTTTTTATAATTACATTGCAAATTCACAGACTTATACATAACTTTTTTTATTTGTCCTTATTAAGTTCTTATTTATTTAATGTCCTTATATTTGTACTTATTTATTTAAGAGCTTAGTGAAGCATTTTGGAAACACTAAAATAACAAGATTTAAGAACATTGTAAGTTAGATCATATTGTTTCAATCTACCAAGGAAAATGTGAAAATATTTCTTTATTTTTTTGAAAAATGCTATTTCTGAATAGTTTCTTGATCAATTTGGAATATTAACATAGTATTTATCAATGAATACTTGCATTAAACTATTATAAAAAGCCTCAAAGCAATCATTATTCTTTTAAGCTATTTTTGAAACTTTTCTAATACTTTTACTAAACTTTTTTTCTATTTCTGCTACTGAATTTTTTTTACAGCTTCTGTTCTTAGTCTTTTTTGAAACTTTTGTAGTGATCCAGATCCTATTAAAAAAATCTTAGTGTTTATCCCTGTGGCAGAATATCTTTGGACTTTCATTGACAAACCTCTCTAGCACTAATATCTTTCTGCAAGATACTTTTAAGAATAACTAATATACATGTTATTAGTTAAATTTAGAGTAACAGAAACGCTGTATTTATAAGAAAAGCCTATTTGGATATAGTAAAATTGTATGTATTTTTTTTTAAATGAATATGTAATATTTTTTTATTTTAATATCCTGGGCGATATTCTCACATTTCGTAAGAGGAAAACACACTACTTATTTCACATTTATTAAATCATCATCATCACATAAAAAAATAATAATTAAAAATCAGTGAAAGAAAAGAAAACGAAAATTTTATTTTTTCGAAAAGGGAATTTAAAAAAATCAGGAGCATTTCTTCCCCTCTGATACGTGAAAAAAGTATCTCTGGAGTATAATTGTGGAGGGAAAAAAATCTTTCAAACATTTCTGCAGAAGGAAATTTTTTGCTTCAATATTCTTAGTTTTTCATTCTTCTCAAATAGAAGTCGAAAAATTAAGAACATTTCTTTTCCCACCGATGCACGAAAAAGGCATCTTTCAAATGTAATTTTAGAGGGAAAACAAATTCGGAAATTTTTGCAGAAAAGAAAACCAAAATTTTTTACTTTCTAAAGGGAAATTCTTTCTGCAAGAACTCTGTAACATTCTGCGACAATGTTGCCGTGTCGCTGCGATTCTGCCATGGGGTTGTTTATGTTCATAATTTATGAACATTCTGTAAATTTTTTTTTAGTATTGGTGAAGGACAATCATTAGTGCTGTGTAAAGCACTTCCTTTGCAATCCTATTTTATGTTTTTTGTGAAATATATACTTTTGTAAATCATATATACTTAAAAAAAATTCTTTTTTTTTTTTAAGTGATTAACAATTTATGATTTCTCTTTCACTACTTCAATTGTTAAAGATGTACTATATGCACAGTGTTTTTATTTTGATATTATTGGAACCTAACTTCAAAACTATTTGATTAAGAAAATCTTGAACTACATTGTAAATTTTAATTAAATATTGATATGGCAGAATATTAACCGACACTAGTTTTTTTTTTTTTTTAATGCAACAGTACTATAATATTTTTCTACTACTTTTTTTCTTCTACTTTTATATATTATTCAGTTAATTTTATTATTTATTTTTCTATAAGTTATTCAATACTACATGAATAAAATTTTATTGGAAAATTAAAATAATAATTCTGAAACAATAAATAGATATTTTATTATTCTTTCACAATAAAATTTGCTTTTATTATACTTCAGTGGAGCAAATTGTAATTTTTTTAGTTTATTATTTGCCCATTTTAAAAGTAGACTGGTATTTGTTCTTGTTTTTTCTCCCTGAATTTTTCTTTGGCTCTCTACAAGACCTATTATTAGGAATTACAAACAGCTTTAAAAAATACTTGTATGTTATTATACCTATTTCCTTATTCATTTTAGTGAATAGTCAATTCCCTGAAACTCATGTTTTATTATACCTATTCCTGAAACTTATTATCCCTATTTTCTTATTTATTTTAGTGAATAGTCAGTTCCCTTAAACTCATGTTTTATTATACCTATTCCTGAAACTTATTATCCCTATTTCCTTATTTATTTTAGTGAATAGTCAGTTCCCTGAAACTCATGTCAAACATCTTGAAGATTTGATAACGAATCATGAAGCAAGGCTACCTAAGGCAAACGCTATTCTCCTTCCAGTAATGTCATTATTTTTTTTTTTATCTTTGATAAAGTAATTTATATCTGTTCAAACTAATTATAATTTTAAATATTTTATTTTACAGTCTGGTGGTCAAAGTAGTTGCGCTTTACATGTTTCTAGAACTATCTGCCGTCGTGCTGAGAGAAGGTAAGCATTTATCAATATTTATGCTCTGTTTAGAAATATTCATTTTCTTCTTCTTCCTAATCCCCAAAATTAGCAGGGCTAAACAATGTCCATGAAATTCATGANAAAGAAAAACTTTTTTACTAAAAAAAAAATAGTTATAATTCTCTAAAAAGATTTTTTTTGTTTCGTAAAGTAATAAATTGAACTTCGAATTTAATATTTATTAAATATTCTAAAATTTAAACTAGATTATACAGTGTTTACAAGAAAATGCATTTACTATTCAATTTCAGGAAAAGAAAAACTTTTTTACTAAAAAAAAAATAGTAATAATTCTCTAAAAAGATTTTTTTTTGTTTCGTAAAGTAATAAATTGAACTTCGAATTTAATATTTATTAAATATTCTAAAATTTAAACTAGATTATACAGTGTTTACAAGAAAATGCATTTACTATTCAATTTACAAAAGTATACAAGTTTAAAAGTTAATTTCCTTTACTTAGGTTTACTAAATAACATCAATAGCTATTTTGAAAAAAGGGATTTTGTAGAGCTCGATTAACTTCCCTCCTCAGAGGACGCTATACTGAAGGAGAAAAGAATCATGGCAAATTCACTTTCACCTCCAAAGTAACTAAAAATTTAAAGTATAAAAAAAAATGAGTTCATGCAAATCTTACAGGGGGTGGAAAAATAATGGAAACACTTCTATACTAATACATTTTTTTACATTTTTCAAAAAATACTATAGAATCATTTTATAAATTTAGAAATGTTTAGGTTATGCAATTTCTCATATGATGTTTAAAACTTCTGAAGGTTGACAAAAAATGTAGCAATAAATTTTACAACTGACAAAAAATGTAGCAAAAATGTATTAAAATAAAAACTGACAAAAAATGTAGCGATAAATTTGTAATGTGTAACTGTTATTTTGGTTATTATATGCAGCAATCGCACAAAATTTCGTAAACCTAGCTTAAATATTTATGAAGAAGAAGAGTTAAGATAATTTTTCAAGAGTATTTCAAAAATATAACTGAATGAAAGGTTTTATAAACATACCATAAAGCTTAACATTTAAAGAATCCAGAACATCAGTGTCTGATTCAGTAATGTTAGCAATGTCGTCAAATGAATCCCACTCTGCAATGAATTCTACTTCATCCTCATGTGCTGAATTCTGCTAAAATTTGTCTTTACCTCCATCTAAAGAATTTGAAATTCCATTCTTTTTAAAATATTTTGCAATAACATGTGAATCTACATTTTCCGCCTCTAATATCATTTGACACATGATGTCTATGGGAATAATAATCAACTTATAGACAGCATATGGGAAATTTGCGATCTTGTAATGAAAGATACGGAGTTGACTTAATACATCGGATTTATATGGTATCGGAAAAACTTAATATGGATTAAAATGCTTGATTAGATTCTGTTAGAGCATATTATGAATAGATAAACACTTTTTGAAAATGACAGATATACCCAAATTGGTAAAAAAAATTTGTTAATTTGTTCAAAGTGTCTGCCAATCTGTGAAATTGTTCATTTATATAATATGATTTTTATTGTGTTTCATTTTAATAGTTTAGTTTTATTTTGAAAATTTCTTTTTAACAAATGAAGATATAGTATCATTCTTAATAACTATATTTTATTGTTCAAGTAGATTAGGAGACTACTTGTTTGTTGCTGCAAGAATAGTAAGTTTTATTTCAGGCAAAAAGGAATGCATTTATACTCAACCAAGTTACAATATTAGCCCTACTACATCAATTAATACTAGTACAAATCAAGGTAAGTTGTACTATTTTGTTACAAAACTTCAGTTGCAATATTTGATATCATTTTCTAACATTGACTTCATTTTTTTCTCAGGTTATTCAATTATTTATATTCAACAACCAATCCAGTGACATAATCAAATTACCAATTTTCAACAGAAGTTACCACTAGCTGTGTTATAAATACAGAAACTTGTAATATGATACAGAAACTTGTAAATATTTTAAATAAGGACTATCATTAAACAAATAATTTTCATACAATTTTTTTATCAATGGGCAATGAAAATAGTACATGATATTATATGACTATTTGTAAAATATGCACTTTATTAGTCCTGTTTTACAGATTATTTTGTATTATATTGCCTTTACATGAATTCATAGTTGTTGATTGACAGCAGAATATTATACTTGCATCTATTTTTCCCATTCAAAATGGTTAAAAATGTGGAGCAGAGTTGCCACTTAGACATTCAAAGTTTTTAGAAAACTTTTAATTGTTGCTTTTTGTGATTATTTAATATTTTCAAAATTATGCTTGCTTAATTAATTTAAAAGTTAGATATTCAGCAAATTTATAGTGTAGTGCTCAATGCAAATTTGTACATTTCACAAAACAGAAAATTTAACGAATGTGATATGATTCAAATAAAAAGCATCAAATAAACTAAATAAAAGAATTTCATAAGATAAATAATGTAAAAAAATTCTCCATTGAAGCTAAAAAATAAAAATAGTGTAATTTACAATATTTAAGTGGTGATTCTGTTTTTCATACGACATTTATTAGGTCAAATGTATTTTTCTTCTTTCCTTCTTGTGAATGTGCATGAAAAATTTATATATTTTTTTTGATAAAATATGTATTTTTTAGTTCTTTATCAAATTTATAAAATATATCATACAGTTATTTAGATAAGAATAATTTTATTCTTGTATAAATAAAATAAAAAATATGCAACTTTTTTTTAAATAGATTATTACTATGAGTATATGAAAATCTCTTAAAAGCTTACCATATATGGATACTATTATTTAATATAATGTACTTGTTCTAAGTATTATTATTGAATAAATATTAATAGTTCCTTTGTCTAGATTCAATATATAAAATGATTTCTTTGAAATTGTTTATTTTACAGATCTTAATTACCTAAGGGCATAAAATGGCATTTAAGTATTTCTTGTTTGTTATGTGTACTAGTCAAAAACTTTGTCTTATTATGATACTGAAGACAATAACCAATTTTTTTTTTGTCTCTCTTACTTAACAGACTTTCAGATTTAATTATTTAAAATAAAAATAAAAAGTTATTTTCCTGTTTGTTTTTTCTTTTCTTACAATACTTAAGAAGATTTGCCTAAAGTCTTATTTCATCTGTTTTAATATCATCTTTAGGGTTGTGAATAATGTGAACTTATTGTAAATATGTTTTTTATTTCATTGAAAGAGAGAGAAATCATGAGCAGATTGTAACTACATTGAATGTTTGTTCATTAAAAGTTTTATTTATTTATGTACATCTGGATTATTTTTTACTTACATGCACTATTGCATATAGAATAGAGTAGATGATCATAATTTTTTTAGACCGACATTTTAAAGTGAACACTCGCCATTTTTTAAAATAATTTCACTTTAAGCTGCAATTTAATGAAACAAAAGTTTTATTATGTATGTATATATATTTAATAACAGGGCTAAATCCCTGTTATCATTGTTGTATTCAGCTTTAATAATGCAGTCATAAGCCATAATAAGTTATCAAAAGGTTTATTTAAAGGTAGGCTGGTGGTTATAGCAGTTCACATCCCTACTCTGCAAGGGAGGTGGTGTGGACGAAACTCCGGATGGTTCTGGCAGATATTTTATGGAACACGTTAATCAGCAAGAAAAATGCGAAAACCATCGGTCTCGCCTTAAATACTAACAGAGAATGATGTAATTAGGTTCCAGTCGTACCTTTGTAACTCTACGCATTATGGAAAATCATTTAATGTTTCCTAATATGAAAGTGAATGAGGGACAACATTCTAAAAATAACTCCTCTTTTGAAATATAAATTGAATTATGATTCAATGGTATGTTTTCAGCCTTGAAGTCCCAAAATAGAATTTCTACGCCTATTCTTTACCAAAGACATTTTACGAAAACAAAAGAGTTTTAATGGTTTTATTAATACAAAAGTATTTATAATTTTTGTATTACATATATATAGAAATAAATAAATATATATATATGTCACATTTACACTTAATGTAAAGTGACAAATTAATTTCTAATTTTACTTAAGCCTTTAATTTTTCTTTAAACGTTATTCCTTTTTTCAATTTGGCAATTTTATTTTTAACTTTCTTGTTGACCTTTCTCATTGTCGTTGCGGTCATCGCACTTCCTGTGGGGAAAGTCAACCAACCCCTCTATTCACGCCTTTCTTTTTCTTCTTTTAATTTTAGGGAGGCTAACTAACCAATCTCTTTCCCTTAAATTTCAAACTCTCCGCCTCTTTAAATTTAATTGGTCGTAGTTTTTCTGGTCTACCCCAGTTAAGGAATTTTTAAGTCTTTTTAAAAACATTCTCTTTATCTCGAGCCTTCGGGCAGGTTACCTTTTTTTAAATTCTCCGAGATGCGGACTTCGGTCCGTATCGAGGGATTTCTTTTTACATTTTTTCTTAACCTTTATTTTAAATTAAATCCATAGCTGTAATCAATTTGAATAGAGGGGTTGGTTGACTTTCCCCACAGGAAGTGCGATGACCGCAACGACCATGAGAAAGGTCAACAAGAAAGTTAAAAATAAAATTGCCAAATTGAAAAAACGAATAACGTTTAAAGAAAAATTAAAGGCTTAAGTAAAATTAGAAATTAATTTGTCACTTTACATTAAGTGTAAATGTGACTATATATATGGGTCATTCTCACGAAAACTGTCATTTTTCAGTTCATAAAATCCCAAAAAAGTAAAGTGAATAAAAAGCTCTGAAACTTTTTCTATTAATAGAAATATGTAATGACATTATAAAGAAAGTATATATCCTATAAATTATACTTAATATTTAAATTAATTAATTTTTTAAATAATTAATTTATAATTAATTAATTTATAATAATTAATTAATTAATTTAATAAATAAATTAATTAATTTAATAAATTAATTTATTAATTTTTTAATTTATTTTTCAAATTAATTAATAAGTAAATTAATTATTTTCACTATTTAAAAAGTGAGGGAATGACACTAATAGTGAGGGAATGATATTTTATTTTAATACATGTTTTTATCTAAGTTACATCTACCTAAAGTTTGAAAATGATAACATACTAAGTATATCTAATATTTATTATAATTTAGTCTTATATATTTAATAGTTTTTACAGGTTTGGGAAATAAAATTGGCTGGCACGATTGAACAAAAAAAAATTTAATAATATACTCATCTTGAATCATTCCCTCACTTCAGCGTCATTCCCTCACTTTATACACTAGTGAGGGAATGACGAATTCAATAAAATTTAAAAATAACAGTTAGGCCTAATTAATTTCTGAAGTCAATCACATACAATTATATTCATACAAGAAAGCAACATATAATTATCCACTTTCTCGATGAAGTTGTATTTTATTTTACTCTAAAAAATGACATGAGGGAATGACAAATGTAAAAAATTTTACCTGGTTTGATTCATTCAAATTTATTCCACAGCAAAGCTTCTTTAAGTTGAAGATGGAAACATACTGCAATTTTGTTCTATGATGCCAGTTGTTAACTTCTGAAGTTTTTATTAAAATATTTTTATTCTAAGAAGATTGCAGGTGATAAGAACATTGTTGTGAGGGAATGACGCGAAACACTGGGGACAAAGTTTAAAATAGTGCTGTGTTAATATTTTTATCAGAAATTAAATTTAAAATTGATTTTCTGAATTCTATATTTCAGTATTCTGAAATAAAAAACACGAATTTGTAAAAAAAAAATTTGTATTTCAGAAACAATTTTTTTCTTTTTTTAAATCAGCAGTGGGGACAAGTGAGGGAATGACATATTGGTATATTTTAATTACCTAAAATAAATAAAAAATAAAAATTGATAATTTTATTTTTATTCTTTTGTTAGCTTGCATTCTGAAGGACACTTTCCCTGAATTTTTTTTCTTCTTAAGCTGTAAAACAAACATAAAATATACTGGGGACATGAAAATGACTGTTTTTGTGAGAATGACCCATATATATACATATATTCAATATTAATTTATCTCTTACTTTTTTAGTAGCAATTAATCCGTTTATGAAATAGTAGACAGTTTTTATGTATGTGTATATATATATATATATAACTGTTTTAATTATGTGTATACGTCCTGAAGAGCCTTATTCGATGTAAATTAGTGTAGGTCATGCTGTAGAACTAAGTCTTGCAGTTTTAATTTCTTATAAAGTGGTTCACTTTAATAGCCCAGGAAAATAATTCTGATGTAGTTTTATTTTGAAATAATTAGTGTGAAATTTAAATCACTAAAACTTTGAATTTGTTAAAGTAGCCTACAGAATATCAAAGCTGGAAACTAATATAAAATAAAAGTGTCTGGGGCTGATACTTTTCAATAAAATAGTTAGAAATTATTGCGAGACAGTAAACACAGTTACAGTGTATGATTCTAATATGAAATATTGTTTTTATTTTTTGAAATGTTCAATATCTTGAATAGACTGACAAATAAAAAAAAATAGGTTTACTGTGTTTTTAATTTTGATGCAAAAAATAGTAAAAGCTTAAATGTTTTCAGATAACTATAAAAGCTCAGTTTTTGCTTGGATGAATTTTGTCAAAATTTTCTTGTTTTAAAAAGTATTGATTTTATTTCTGTATTTATATTTAATTATTTTTCCTTAAAAATTGTATCATTAGGCGTTTTTCTAAATGCTAAAATATATACATATAGTTTAATGTGGTATATATGTGTTTTTTTAATATTAAATTGTTTAATGAATTAGGGATTGTGTCTGTCAAAGTGGGATTCAGCAGAGAGAAGGTTCAGCAGAGTAATTTAAAGCTTACTAAAATTAGTGTAAAATCTTAAAAAAAATTGTCTAACATTTTTCAGCTTAAATAATGAACCCATGGCTTATTTAAGACATATTTTTTTCATTTCTATTTTAAAATAATGGTTTTTTATATTAATGCCATAATATTTCATATTTAAACTTAAAAATATACAAAAAAGTTAAATTGATTACTGCATATATTTATTTTTGCTGAATTTTAATTAAATATGAACTGTTATTTTTAATTTTTAGAAGGGTTTTAAAATATCACAGTGTATACAACAAAATGCAATATTTGAAGTTAAAATATTCAATATGTTTTTGAAGTTAATAAAAGTTTTTGTATCCTTACAACATTTTTTCCCTTTGTTGCAAAGTTCATTTTAAAATATCAGGCTCTTTCATACATCTACCTTATTGAATGAGAAAGATTTACCTCATTGAATGAGTGATAATCTTGTCAGGACATTGAATGATGAAAGGCATTCCACAACTTTTTTCATTCGTAGATAATATTCATCTGGATTCCTTTACAAAACCCAACTTTTTTTTTTCTTTCGAATTTTACATTTCAATTTCTTTAAGATATGTAAGCCATATTTGTTACTTATATGATTTGAGAAACATCTTACAACACTCGAGAAAATAGAAAATTCTAAAAATTTAGAACAGAAGAAATAATTGTTTTCTTTTCTAAAATTTATGCCTAACAAAAATTTGGTTTTGCAAAATGGTGATAATGATTTTATTAAAAGATGGTTTTAGCATGTTTTGATATTGTAATTATACCGTTCCTACAGATTTGAAAAAGTGGCTAATTGTTGATTGATGATTTTATTTGTCGCTGTATGTCATCTTTTTAAAAAGAATTAAGAATTGACTCGAAACATTACATAATGTAAAAATTGTCCCTACCCTTTATTCATGATAAATATTCCTCAAATTTAAAAATGAGTAAAGATAAATAATTCTGGATAAATGATCAAAATAAGAGTGAATAATTCTTAGCTATTAATCATTATTATTGTATAATTTTAAACTTCTACAAAATCCTCAAACTGTGCTAATCAAATTCTACAAATCTNTTAAAATAAAGGTATAATCATTCATTTTGAGGATGCTTTACATGCTCATTTAAGTTATAATCAATAATTTATCTTCAAGAAATGATTAAACTGTTTAATTTTTTGTAAATTTTAAAAAAAGTTGAAAAAATTTCAAATTTTTAAATCCCTAAGGCTTTTTTATTTTAACATATTTTCAAAAAAAGTTTTTTTCATAGTGCTTGCAATATTTATCTTAACAATTTTGTGCATTCATTTGTTGATATATCAATTCGAATATTTTTTATAGATTATTTTGTAAAAAAGTAGAAAAAAAAAGAGTAAAAATTCCTGTTAGGTATATATAACAAGCCGTAAAAATTGTAATACCTCATAAAATGCTTATTCCATGCACAGTTTAAATAAGTGT